ATGTGCGAAGTTTTAGGCGAAATAGTATAAAGTAATAAAATATAAAGGAAGTGGGGTTAGTGGAAGAATAAAGTATGATAGTTGAGAGGCGAAAGAATCTGGAAATATTAAAGTATGATAATTGGGGCCCACTATGATCGAGAAAAAAAATTAGTAAAATATTGTGAAGGTTTCCAAAAAAGAAAATAGAACAAGTAATAAAATACGGCCGCAAAAGAAAAGGAGCAAGTAATGAAATATGGGGGGAGTATTATTATACGAGTACTTTGTTATTTTAAAATTCTTTAGGAGAAATTTTAAAATCCCCCTATATGAAAAACAAGTCAACAATTACAAGTTTCCAAGAAATTTCACGAGCTGTTAACTATTTATTTTTAATCTTTGTTATATGGCAATTGAATTGACACTACTACATTTTTGACCAAATGCAATGGCCTAATAAAGGCTAATACAACGGTATTTTAATTGCCGTTGCAATAGTGTAGGCTAATACCACATATTTAACACTAATGTTCTTAGAGGTAGAGTTAATGCCACAGCTCTAAAGAACTGTTGCATTAGCCTAGCTATTTTTAACAAAAAAAGGAGCTGATGCAACGGTATGTGTATTGTATAATGAAAAATTTAGAAGCGCGCAAACTTCCCTCTATTTTTTTGCCCAAATATTTTAAACCCTTACACGTGTTACTATCACTCTGTACTACCATTTTCTCACATTTCTAAGTACCCATTTTCTCACATTCTCACAATTTCCCCAATTCTCCATGAGGCCATAATTACTTCCAAATTCTGAGAGGAAAATTACGAAAATAAATTACTCAAAAATTCTAAGAGGAAAATAAGCAAAGAAATCTGAGGTAGTAGACGAAGGCGGCACTTAGGCGGTGGTGGCTGATAGCGGCACTTAGGCGGTGGTGGCTAATAGCGGCACTCAGGCGGTCTCATTTTCATCTTGCATGTTCCTTCCTTGAGCTGATTGCTCGAATTTCTGTTCAAGGTATACAACGAATTTTCGTTTTTGAGATTGCTTAATTGAAATTTTGTTGTTGCATTTTGTGGTGATTAAATTTGAAGTTTTTGCTTTTGTGTTTGGGAATTTGTATTTGATGCCATGGAAGATGAAGTTTCTGCTCTCGTAAATCTTGGAAACGGCTAATGGGTTTCGTTTAGCAATATTGGTTTTTTTATTTTATTATTTTTGAAACCTAGTAGTACTGCATATTGTATTTGAGTAATCTAATGGGGTTTTGTTTAGGGGAATTTCATATAAATGGATAAGAAGATATATTAATTTTACTTACTTCTTTGTATTTGCGAATTATTTTTCTGAATCTTGTTTTTTTAATTCTGTTGTGATTTGTCCTAACTTCTTGATTAATTAAGGATGAAAAATATTAAGTCGAATAAATATTGTTGGCGCTAGATGCGTATGTTATTGTGGATCTTCAGTACCAGAATTATAGTCAATTCTAAGTATATGCCAAGAGTTGGAGTTGGGTCAGTGTAGCAATCCTATTATAATATCATACAAAATCTTCATCCAACTCTGAAGGACAATATAGATGCCAACTTTCCATGTAGCACTGATTAGACATGTGTACAAATGACTACAACTACAACTTGATATAATGACTAACTAATCTGACTATACACCTCATTGAGTTTCTTGTCTGATCATGTTAAGATGAGTTAAAACTAAATTTAGAGATATAATCCAATCTATAGCGTCTTTGTATGGCAGGAAGACCATTTTAGATTGTCCAATTTGGTTAGTGAGTTTAAGCTGAATTTATTGTTTATTAAATTTAATCAGTAATGTCTTTGGTGCTGGTCTTGTCAACTATCATATTGCAGGATCTAATGTTTGATAAGTCACATTCACGTATGTTGCTTGTTAATTGAAATCTAGATTGCACATAACAAATTAAAGATGGTTTTTTTTTTTACTTATTGCTTCATCTAGTTGTACACTTGTACCCATGAATATATTCTTTTAATAAGTACAAGTGAAGGGTTTTTGTGTTTCATATGAAAATTCTAATGCTGTTAGTATTTCAACAGAATTTATGCTAAAAGTGAGCCTGTATTTACTTCCGAAGAAGTGCATGACAAGCTAGTTGATCTTCAGGCTTAGATACTTCTGATCTTTCATTAATGTGACATTATGTGTGAGTATCTTAACCTGATTTCTGGTTCAAGAGCCTTATCAATAATGGCAAATTTTGATTAGGTTACTAGGGTGAATAGAATCCCAAAACCAAGGCCCAAAGTAGAGAGTTTATTAAGAATGACACTAACAGTGAGAAAGTAGAGAAAGATTCGAACTCTACTTTTGGCACCAGTGACAGTGAGGAGAGCTCAACCAAGGAAACGCCAGAAACTTCTGATGGCTCGGCTACTGATAATGCTGAGGCTGGATCTCATGATGAACTGTGATGTGATAGCTACACCAATGGTAAAACCGAATTCATGGTTATAAATTACTTCTCCTGCCGAAGGCTTTTCTTGTCGGAACAAAGTTCTCTCTAATGGACACATCCCTTGCCAACGTATTTATTGGCTAAGAGACGAGTTGGCATAGATATTTCCTCTATTAAATCACATGTTAGCTTGAGCCATAGGCACCTGAGCCAGTTCGACCCCTTTTAATTGGTCTGAGATACGAAATTTTGTTAGAAAATACAGTAGCAGTTAAAGGTACTTGAACTAACACTATTTTTGTGCTTGATATAAGGTTGGCTAATGCAGACAGGCATGCGGGGAGTATATTGTATAGAAAGGACAAAGTGATTGGTCAGATTGTCCTCATTCCCATTGATCATGGATACTACTTGCCGGATTATGTAAGTGCCATTGCATTTCTTCTGGTTAATACTTTATCAGTACATTTGTGTTTTAAATGTGTGATAGCTTCATTGCTTACTGTAAAAAACACTGCTTTGTAGGGGATGCAAATGGTTTAGTTCATTGGACTGCATTTTATTGATTGGTTTTGTGATATTTGTTTGGAGCTTATTATCCCTGAAAATTGAAGTATCTTGTAGGCATTCATTTTGTTGAAAATTAGTATGTTTGAACTTTTTGAAAGCAAATTGATTGACGGTTAGTTCTAGCTTTGTGTCTTCTTTTGAATGATTAGGTGATTGTTAATCCTGCAAGGGCAGCTAAACAATTCATTGCCTTGGCAATTTTTTAGAAATATAAAGTACATACATAGTATAGTATATAAGAAAATTGGAAAAAAAAATTGTATATATACGGGTGGACTGCGGATCGGGTGATAAATGGATGACGGATCGGGTGACGGCTGAAACGGAGCCCCACCCGAATCTGACCTGTTCTGTCACCCGCTTCATCCGTCACTCGCCCTTCATCCATTTAACGCGGATTTTCGTCCATTTACTTGTAGCGGGTGGATCGGGTTTGCGGATATCCACTTAAAATTGCCATCCCTAATCTCTACTATTCGAAGAATCATTTTCTATCGTTCCATATTTTTTTTTTTTGCAACTTTGAAATATTTTATATCTCATAAATAATACCCCAAAGTTGCAAAAATATGAAACGGAGTCAGTATAAAAAATATATAATGTACCAACTTTACCCAAAGAAATATATGCCCATCTTTTATTTTATATCTATTAAATGTAATATTTTTTATTTATTCAACATATACATTTGTTATATTCTCAACCCCTTTTTAGACTGGTCATAGTGTGTGGCTGGGGTTACTTATTCTAGGGTTACTCGGTCGGTTAGAGGTTACTTATTCAAGGGGAACTCGGTCAGTAAGGGGTTACTCTCACTCAAAAAATGCGCTAACCGACTGAGTAACCCCCAGAATAAGTAACCTTCACTACAAAAAAATTGAGAATAGGCAACACTTAAATTTACAACACTACTAAAATTGTTACCCTTGATAGTGTACGGCAACAATTCATATATGTTATTTTGAAATAAACAATTAATACTGGATTGCAAGACAACATTTATTAAAGTGTGGTTGTAGACTTTATAAGACAACAATTGCTTAAGGTGTTGTCTTCTATTATCTATGGCGACATTTATATATATTGTTGCTTGAAAAAATAACAAAATAAAAATTGTTGTCTAATATAGAGCACTTAATGTGTAATATTGCCTACAATATTGAGAGGATTATATGCATATAATTTTAAATTGAATATTTATGCATATAAGGTATCTTAAAAATACATGAACACATTTTTTAACTCAAATATTATGTGCATATTTTTTTATTTTTTTTTAAATTTACAATAGATTTTTTGTAACAAATTATTTATAAATTAAAAAACCATAAAGACCACAATAATTATATATGTGGAACCAGGTGAGAACCATATAAGGTACATGTAATAAAAATGTAAGATACATAGTATAATTTTATTTTTTTGTAGTTGTTTTTTTTAAAAGTGGTGTATCTTATAATTTTATAACATATACATTTTATTTTCGAGAATGTACCTTATAACATAGACAATTATCTTTAGGCTCTGTTTGGTGGTAGTGTTTAAGTAGAGATTAGCGCTTTGACTAGTCAAAACACTACTAGAAAAAATTTGAGAGTGTTTGGCAAAGTAGTGATTCTAGTAGCGGTTAGCGATAGGGGTAGTGTTTAGGTAGCTTTTCTCAAACGTTAAAAATAGTAGCGTGTAGAAGTAGCGGGTAGCGTTCGACAAATTTTTATTACTTTTTAATTAATATTTATATGAATTTTGATATATTTTAGTATTGCAACCGCTACTTTTGTCAAACACTCATACTATCAACCGTTACCTTGACAGTTAACCTCTACCCACTACTAATTGACAACTACTCGCTACCTTAACAGCTACCCGCTACTTGACCGCTAAAAGCTACCTGCTACCATTACTTTTGCCAAACAGGACCTTAATATATAGCTTTAAACATGATAGTTATTAAAACATTATTGTAACTGGCTAAAATAATGTCAGTTACAAATACTATATCATTAGCAACTAGCATAGAAAAGAGCGTTACTGGTATTGATATAAAAAGTACTCGTATAAATTTATATTATTAATAAAATTAAAAAGCTCCAACCACAAATGTCCGGTCAAATAAAATTGACCAAAATAATTAAAGGCGCCACTTAGAAATTTTTGTTGAGCAAATTGTTTCAAAAAAAAAAACTCCCAAAATAATCCGCGCACTACTGTCTACTCATCTACTGATACTACTGCGAACCCCAACCTCTCACTCATCAAATTTCCCCAAATTGTGCGCCCCATCTCTCAAACCTCTAATCTATCAATCCCTAACTTCTACAACTCAATTTTTGCTGAATCTGTTGCTGAATTTGCTGAATCTACTAACCCTAAACATTGAATTTGTTTCTAAATTAGAGAAATTTCACATCCTCGGGTAAAGGTTTTCTCTTTCTAATTTGTATTTTGATATTGCCTAATTTGCCCGGTTAATTTACCTAATTTTTCTATATTTCAATTCTGATTGCTAGTTTCAATCGATTTTGTCAATCCATCTCATTTACTGAATTTCGTTGTATTTACTTTTTGTTAATCGATTTTGAATTGTATGGTCGTTGTTAGTTTGTGGCGGCGAAAGTTTGCTACTGCTAATTGAATTGTTTACATTGTTTCAAAAGTACGAACTGTAATTGCCTGTTAAATTGAACTATTTTTCTAGATTTGATTTTTCATGCTACAGTTGGGTGAATTTGATGTTGGTCCAGCAAGAAACCTAGAATAATTGTTAATATGGGGGTTAAAGATTCAAGCTTTATGCTACATGTTAAATACTAATGATGAGTTCTGTTTGGAGCTACATTATCTATACATTTCCCATCCTCCCAATTCCCATTCTTACACACCAAACGCCGCACAAAGAGAGTAGGAAGTAGAGTTGAAGTATCATCTTGGTGAAATTAGAAAGAAACTCTCATCCTTTTTCTTTTCTTTGCATTGGGGCTGCAAGGCTGAAAACTGATAAATTAATGAAATCTAGAGAAACTATGGTAGTCTAAAACTTCAAGTGAAGTGTTGAGTATCAAAGACATTTTGGGCACTTAACAAACCTTACAAAGGAAGACAAGTTCCTTAATAAAGTTGGTTTTGTTTTATGTATATATTTTTATTTTTTTTATTTTTATATCAAACTCACATCATAAGCTTGGTGCAAAATAGTGTTTATGAAAGTATGCTTGAGGCCACCTTGTCTATTAGGCGTTGCTGCCTAAGTGTTTATCTAGGCGTGGACATTGGACAAGGCACTTTCGATGAAGTAAACTGGCTGGTCCATCTTACCTCTTCTCTGCAAAAAGTTTTTACGCTGATCATCTTTGATATTGGGAAATGCGCTTCACTCGTGCGTTGTACACCTAGCTTTGGGCCCCTGATTACCTTAGTGTGCCTTGAGCTTTTAAATTACATGTGCAATTGCAGCATGCAAAAGTTTTCCTATTCATCTTCATCAATTCCACTATTGTTATAGACGTATAGTAATCTTTATAAAGCTTCTCTCTTTGTGTAGGGATATTGAATCCTCTAAATCCTGAGAGCGACAGGTAATGTAATGCAAGCCATTTAAAATGAACAGCAATATTAGAAAATAAGAGAAACCTAATAAGGGGGTCTAAAGGACTTGTGAGATGTATGGTGTGTGGGGGAGATCATCATGACTTACCTCAAAGGAATCTTAAGGAAATCAACGCTTTATACCTGTGTAAGTCTTGAACCTGCACTTAAAAATAACATAACAATTCATTAGCCCGTAACATATCTAGCCTCTCTTTACTCTCATATTTCAATTTATGGTGACATATTGAGTTTCATTCATTCACAGTTTCATGTCATTGGTTTTAGATGAATAGTTTGGCTTAAGGAGATCATGCCAAATTCTGAGCAACTTAGAAAGTGAACTACATAACAAAAGGAATGCTGCTATCATATATATGGCCCTAAATGCTGCTAAATTCTGTTTATTTGCTGCTGAAATTGTTGTTGCTTGTTATAATGTTGCTGCTGCCATGTTGTATTGCTACTGCTGTTATTTTGCAGTTGCCCTGTAGCTTCAGTTTTGTTCGTCCCAAAATCATAGACCTGCAGTAGTTTCTAGCCCCTAGTCCCTTCATGAAAGTTGTAGACCTCAAAATATTATCCAATCTAGGCTAAAGAATTTCTCAATTTGGAATTGTGTGCTAGGAGTTATGCCTTCTTGAAATTTCTGTGGTCTGTTGTCTTGTTTCTATCGCAGCGGGGATGTTTTTGTTCACTTGATCCCTATGTGGTGTTGTTGTGTTACGTTGGTTTGGGTCGCTAAATCAAATGATTTGGCTTTTCTAAGTTATTTTATTATACATTCCCTCGAATTATTTACAAATTAGTTCCTAAATAAATATGTGGTTAAGTTTGAGTAATGAATGTTTGAATAATGACTCATTAATAATTTTCCAAAGTGATAAGGATTAATGTATAATTATTTATTTACTTGAAATTGGTAAATCAACGACGAATCTCAACTTTATTCTTGAGTTGAAGGTGACAGGTCAACTTCTAGTTCTAAATTGGTTGTTGATATCGTTCTTGTTGTCTAGACAAGCTGATGTTGATGTCTCTTGTTCCTTTCCTTATTTCCTTTTAATTTTTTCAGGTATGATTATAATTGGAGGAGCAACTCAAGTTTCAAAAATAGATGTTATAATTCTAACTAGAGGGAAAGTTAAGTCCCTTAATCACCTTGTCTCTTTTTCTTTGATTATATTATCGAGGGAGTTGTTTGGCTGATGATCATTTGGTTCATTTTTTATGTTGTGGTTTAATTATAAGTTGTTGAGAAACTCTTTTGTTGCTAATTAATTGATAATGTTATTCCGTCAAATTTAGTTCTTGTTGGTTAAAGTTTGCTTACGGGGAAAAAATTATTTACATAACTTAAGGTTGAGAAAATTAAGACATGTTGCATTAGACACTTACCTTTTGTGTTGGTATTTTTCTGTTATATGGTTCTCATTTTTTTATTGCTGTTTATTGTAGGAATGAGAACTCTTGGTGTAATCAGCAAAATAGATCAAACAACCGGAAAACCTAAAGCTCTTACTCTTGCTCTTGCTCTTGCTCTTGCTGCTATCCAAGTGTTGTGTTATGACCAAGAAGCACTGTTGATATCCCATGACTCCATGAGTTGTGTTAACCTGTTAAACATTGTCAATAGATACCATTTTTGGAAATGCTTTTGGTCAGCTGAAACAGAGAACCTCAAGAATATTATTTGGGGTCCTCGAGACAAATATTTGGTTGCACAAATACACAACCGTATAACCATCAAGCTTCCAAGTCCTTTCTTGGTATACTCTTCCCCATTAATAATGCTCTCTCTACTAAGAAACAAAGTTTCTTACTTTGATATTCCCCTACCTTATGTGCACATGTTCTCTCTGTTGATGCAGCTGCTAGCGCGCTCCATTGGTGGTGCTATTGCTCGTTGTTTCAGTTGGTGCAATATATGTTTGCTGCTATGCTCACTGCTCGTTACCTTGTTGTTGTAATGTGAATTTTTTATTTTATTTTATTTTATTTATTTATTTTAAACAGGTGTTGCTAATTTTTTTTTATGGTTGTGATGTAAACATTAGATTCATTTAATAAATTCAATTTCAATATTTTATTTGTATAAGTGTGTATGTATTTCAATTACAATATTTTATTTGTAAGCAAAATATTATTACTTACAGTAAATATTAAAAAGTAGTCGATTCATTTTAGCACGTGCAATTCATAAGTAACAATTTCAAGGTGTTACCTTTAAGAAATTTGGCAACACTCTAATATTATTACTAGCATATATAACAAGTGAAAAGGTTGTTTCATATTTTAACATAATGTGATGATTTTGAATTGTTGTTTAAGGTTGCAACAATTATCACTTGTTGCCTTTATAAAAGTGTTGCCTTAGGTATCATTTTACCTTGGCTGTAAAAATTGTTGCCTTTGGATAAAAATGTGTTGCCTTAGGAATAGACAACGGGGGCATAAACTACACCTCATAAGTGTTGCCTTAGTTACAAGGCAACACTTTTTTTTTTATATTAGGCAATAGTTTTTCACTGTTACCTATGCTTTATTTTGTTGTAGTGCTTGATCGACTGAATAACCTCTAAATAAGTAACCCCTAAATAAGTAACTCGGCTACACGGTGTGACTAGCCACACACAAAAAGTATTGTTTAGTGTATTTTGTTCTTCCTAGTTTAACCTAGAGTGCTCTTGAAAATATATTAACGCGTAATCAATGAGAAAGACAGTAAATATTCACATATTCTCTCACGGTATAACGAGTTTAGGTTTCACTCCCGAAAAACCCTAATTCTCTTCCGCACTCTCCTTCTTTTCTTCTTCCATGGCCGAATCAAGCAAGCTCCATCCTATCACTCTTGTGACTAACATCAATACATGCATTCCAATCACTCTTAATCAAGATGGAACTCAATATAACAACAACTCGACTCTCTTTCAACTTCATTGTTGCGCTAATATGGTCATTGATCATATTGTTTCTCCACTAGTTGATCCTACGATTAAGAAATCCTATCCCACGGGCACCAAACAACCTTTTGGCAGCAACTTGATGATATTGTACTGTCCGTCAATTATTTATGGGAAAATATCTAATGATCTTCTCAACTCTATTATCGATCCCGATGATGACAAAGCTATAACACCCCCAAATCTCCCTCTACGGAAATACTAGTATAATATGTATAATTATATCATAGAGATAGACTTAAGCATATTACCGCCGCGTGATTACACAAGGCTACTCAAACCAAAAACTTTGCAGCGGAAACTCAAACTCTTTCTTTATTAATAATAAAAATAGTAACCATTGTTATGAGTACTCAAAATAAAACAAAACCAACATCTCTAAAACTAGGTGAAGCATATCCCGGGACTCCTAAATGCTCAATCATAGACTCCACTTGAAAAATTCAACACAACTTGCCATCAAGGTAAACAGGGCGAACCAAAACAAATACAGAATATGGATTAGCAAAATATGCTAAGTACGATAAGTGCAAGATAAGTAAATTCAATTTATTAGCAAACATGCTTTTAAAACCAACCATAGAAAATTCCAATATTTATTCCAATAATTCCAAGTCTCATAATCAAAAACCAATTCTCAATTTTCTCAAAACCATTTCAATGATTCAATAATAATGATTAATAAATCAATTCTCTTTTTAAATACTCAATTCCTTTTCTAAGTGTGCACATCCCCCAATTTAGTATCTAAATAGCGAAAGGTTATCCTTGAGGAAAGACTTGATCATACAAACTCCAAAGTCTTATCTACCAAATTCGCATAGTGGGATTAATATAATCATGCTTGTAAAGCTTTAATAAATAATTCAATAATTCTTCTTTTACTCATTATATCAATAATTCAAACCTTTATAAATAAATTAACTCAAAACTCATTTTTATATATTAAATTCCACATGCTTTTGTGTCAAAAAAAAAAAACAAAAAAAAAATGCTTTAGAAAACAAGCCTTTTGAACATGAAAATAAATTCAAACCAATAATCAAACATGATATTAAGAATCCATTTTCTATCATATTTATTTAAAACATGAATTATTTCATAAATCATAATTCAAATCAATTAATTCAATCACCAATAAAAATCAAATGAAAATAAACATGCTATTTAAACCATCACTTTCAAAGGTATCTAGCCACCTAAACGTACCTTGATCCTCGCTTAAGCAACACATAAAGAACCTTAAGCACTCTCGTCAAACACACCCTACAAATAATTATAACCTTAATTAATCAATATAAAGTCATCAAATAATCACAACTATTACAATAAAACTCTCAATTATATGATGTACATGAACCTTATAAAAAATCTTTTCATAAATTAAAAAAATAAACTGATTTTATTTAATTTAAAACACCCATAATAATTTTTGTAAGACCATAATAATAATAATAATAATAATAATAATAATAATAATAATAATAATTCTGGCTTTACGGGGAGTGTTTCAAGACTCATACTCTTCGTACGAAGTGTCAACATGGTCTTGGTTTTGATGATATCATGGCCCCACCTAATTCTAGGGATGGTGTTGTTCGGTTTATTCTTTATGGTTTTCCTAAACCGCTGAGTCCATCTTTGGAGGTATCTAATCTTGTTCCTAGTGTGCCTCGTGGGCCTCTTTTTGCTTTCGATGTTGCTCTCCTGGATAGTTTGCTATCTAAGCGGTTTCGTTCGATGAAATCTATTCCTCCTAAGCTTCGTTTGGGTTTTGCTCGGGTTCTCAAAGGAGCGCTTGATAAGGTGATTTTCAAGCCTAATGACGTCTCTGTTGGGTTCAACTGCTTGTGTTGCCTCTCTGTGTTTTAAAAACGTTTTCTCCGAGGAGTAGTCGTGAGTGTTCTTCGGGTGTCAGGCGACAGCGGTAGGAAGAGAGTATCGTGGCGCTGCTATTCGATATTGGTGTAAGCCTGGTGGTTCTGTGCATCTTGTGCAGGATACGTTGGCTAATGTGTCTCCACCTTTGTTGGATGCTAATGATGATCATGTTTTGTTTGAGCGTAATATTAAGCAATGTAAGAGAAAGATTTGTGATGGACATTACACTGTTGTGGCTAGGGTTCTTTCGTCTTCTGGTCTTGCCCCTTACAATGATGCTATTCTTGCTGATTTACAAGCAAAGCACCCTTCCTTTCCGGCTCCTATTTTATCGGATATTCCCATTCACCGGCACCTTATTGCTTCTCCTACTGTTGTTTTGGATCAGATCATGGGTTTTCCGCATGGTACATCATGCGGTAGAGACGGCTTGCGCGCTCAACACCTTATGGATTGCTTGAGTGGTGATGTAGTTGCTATTTCGGATGAGTTGGTAGACTCTATTACGCAGGTGGTTAATCTCTTTCTCGCCAGGAAATGTCCTGCTGAGTTGGGAGAATACATTGCTAGTGCTCCTCTTATGCCACTTGTTAAGACTAGTGGTGGTATTTGCCCTATTGCTGTGGGTATCGTTTGGAGGCGTCTGGTTTCAAAGGTTGGGGATTCTTTAATTGGTCCACATCTGGGAAGCTATCTAGGAGGTCTTTATTTTGGTGTTGGTGTGCCAGCGGGTGGTGAGGCTATTCTGCATGCTGTTAATCGTTTGGTTGAGGCTCGTGGTGGTGATGTTGGCCTCTCTATGTTGCTTGTGGATTTCCAAAATGCCTTTAATTTGGTTGATCGTACGGCTTTACTTTGTGAGTTTCGTCTCAGTTGTCCAGCTCTCTCGCGTTGGGTTGAATTCTGTTACTCTTCTCCAGCCAAACTGTTTTATGGAAAGCATACCTTAAGGTTATGTCAAGGAGTGTATCAGGGTGATCCTCTTGGCCCTTTGCCTTTTGCTTTAGTGCTCCATCCGTTAGTGTGCCGAATCAGTGATTCTTTCGACTTATGTTTGCAGGCTTGGTATTTGGATGACGGCATTGGTGATACCTTAGTGGTAGGTAAGGTTATGGAGTTGATTTTGGTGGAGGGACCTCGTCTTGGCCTCCATGTAAACGTTGAGAAAACGGAAGTTTTCTGTCCCTCGGAGGACCCACGTAGCCGTCTGGTCGGTGTTTTTCCTCCAGATATTGCTCGGCCTGTAGATGGTGTTAAGTTGCTTGGTGGTCCTGTCAGTGCGGATTCCTCTTTCTGTAGTGAGCTTGTTTCGCAGAGAGTATCAAAGACTATTGTGCTAATGGATGCTGCTACTAAGCTTGATGATCCCCAATGTGAGTTGTTACTTCTTCGTGCGTGTACTGGGGTTTCAAAACTCTATTTTTCTATCCGCACTTGTCCTCCACGTCTTTTTGAAGCGGCCCAGATTTCTTTTGATATGGCCCTTCGAGCTTCTTTGGAGCTCATTGTAATTTCTTCGGGGCCAGGATTTGGTGATTGGCAATGACGCCTTGCCACCTTACCTTTTTCTTATGGTGGATCAGGTGTCTATTCAGCGGGTGATGTTCGGCACTATGATTTCCTTGCGACGCGTTTGCAGTCTTCTGGTCTTCAGGATACACTTCTTCGCAATTCTGGTATGTTGGTCCAGGACCAGCCTTTGATGGTGCTCTTAGTCTTTTTAATAGGACTGTGGAGACTGACCTTATGCGTAACCCTAGTGAGATCGCTTCCCCCAAACTCATGAAGAAATTGGCAGATATATATTTCACGAAGGTCACTGCATCTTCTGTGAAATTGGCAGATATATATTTCACGAAGGTCACTGCATCTTTTGTAGAATCCATTGTCTCCGCGTCAGATTGCCTTATGGAAATCCCAGCAGGGTGATCACACTTCTTCCTGGTTGCGAGCAGTCCCAATATCAGGTTTGGGTCAGACTATGAATAGTAAGACTTACCATTGTGTTCTTAGCTATCGGTTGGGTGTTCCCTTATTCTCCGTTTCGGCACCTTGTTTTGCTTGCTCAAGGGTTTTTGATGGGGATAATTATGGGGATCATGCAGTGTCTTGTGCTGGGATGGTGGATATTAAACATCGGCACAACGTTGTTCGTGATACCCTTGTTGATATTTGTTTTCGCTCTGGGATTTCTGCAAGAAAGGAGGTTAACGTTGGGTTGACTGGAGGGAACGACGGGGCTCTTCGCCCAGCAGATGTGTTTCTTTATTCTTGGGATAGAGGCCTTGATGTATGTGTTGACTTGACGGGGTCTTCTCCTTTGACACAATCTGGGTTGTCTAACTTCGTTACTGGTCGTGTTGTGTCGATTGCGGCCTAGCGGAAGCGGGACAAGTATG